GGGCCCCGCCGCGCCCCGCGGCTGCTGGGGGCCCAGCGTGTCCTGCAGAGTTTGCTCCGCCTGGAGGAGCGCTACGTGCCCCGCGCCTCCTACTTCCAGTGTGTGCAGAGGGAGATCAAGCCGCACATGCGGAAGATGCTGGCATACTGGATGCTGGAGGTACCGCCCGGACCCCCACCCCACCCGCGCCCCCGGCGCTGGAGAAGCCGGGGCTGCCCTGCTGGGACACCCCGGTCCCAGCCACCATCTGCAAGATGCTCCGGCGGCCCGGACTCTTGGGGCCGGGGCCTGGCCTTTCACTGGGGCGCCCGAGCCGGCTGCCTCGTGATGTCCCTTTCCCTTCCTCAGCTCCGGACTGCCGGTCCTTCGGCACCCTAACGAAGTCTCTGTTTGGGCCAGGAAAGCGGGACAAGGGCCACCCTCTCCCCTCCGCCTCCTCTCGGCGTCTCCTGCTTGCCTCCCCCGCCTGGTCTTCTTGGGAGAGCGCGCCTGGAAAACCCTGGGCTTGGCCGCCCCCGCCCCACGCCGGTTCCTGTGTCTGTCGCGGGGTTCTGGCGGGGAAGCAGTGGGGGTGGCGCGCTGTTCCGGCGGACAGGGAAATGAAAAGTGGGGGGGGGAGCGGCAGGGTCCCTTCCCCTTGGGTGTGTGCGGCGGGTGATGGTCAGGGGGGCAAGGTCTCGGCTTTGGCCACCGCGCCACCGCGGCGGCCCCCGTCCTCCATCCTGGCGCTGGGGGTGGGGTGGGGTGGGGAATCTCTGGAATCCTTCCTAAGGGAGGGCGCCTCTGCTTTAGCCCCCACTCCCTCCGGGCAGAAGGGAGGAGGCAGCGCAGAGGAAGTGGGGGGCGTCACCTCGGGGAAGGCGCCGGGCACATCCTCCTCCATTATTGGCCTTTGTCATTAGGTAGCTTAGCCTCCCCCGTGTTTGCTCCCCACCCCTCTCCTGGTCTTGCCCCTCTACCCCGTATTGCCTCGGCCCCAGCGGTGACTGTACGCCCTCCCCCAGGTGTGCGAAGAGCAGCGCTGTGAGGAGGAAGTCTTCCCCCTGGCCATGAACTACCTGGATCGCTACCTGTCCTGCGTCCCCACCCGAAAGGCACAGTTGCAGCTTCTGGGTGCGGTCTGCATGCTGCTGGCCTCCAAGCTACGTGAGACCACGCCCTTGACCATCGAAAAACTGTGCATCTACACCGACCACGCTGTCTCTCCCCACCAGCTGCGGGTGCGTGTGTAATTGCCCTCCTCCGTCATACTGCCTGGCTCCCCAGGAAAAGGAAAGCTAGGATTCCGGAGCGGTTCTCTTCCCTGGGGAGGAAGCAAAGCAAGTGGGGACTTTTGGGAAAGGAACTAGGGTGGGGCAAAGAATAAATAAATAAGGGGCAAGAGTAGGGTGGTGGTTAGGGTAGCCTCCTCCCACCCCTAGGTTTGAGCAGCAGGGGTGAACCATACCCCCTCCTCCTGACCTCCAGGGGGTGCCACTCCTTCCTGGTCTTTCCCCCAGATAGCAACAAGTCAAACTGCATGTCTAACACTCCCTAGTACTTCGCCTCTGGGTTTACACAGCCACCATGAGTTATTTATTGGCAGCAGAAGGGCATGCCTGCACACCCCCACTGGCGTGGGGAGTGGAGCGTGCTCGTGGGGGAGGGGGGCTGCCTTGTTTGAGCCTTTATCCCTCGGTGGACTTTGTGATAGAAAAGCCTCCCGGAGCAGATTAAAGCCAGGCCCTAACTGCTGTCAGGAAGAACCAGGGTGTTCCCTTGCACCTTCTTTCTGTCCTTGGTATCCCAGAAGAGAAAGTGCTTTCCTAGTCCTCCTCCCCTGCCTTCATTCTGAGGAACTGGAGCAGCTGCTTTGGACCTGATGGCAACGTCTCCCTTTCCCCCATAGCCAGAGGCCTGAGTGGAGAGGGGCAGACAGGGAGCAAGCTGCAGCTGCTTCCTGTGTGATAATGATGCCCCACTCCTGGCCTGCCCGCTCCGGACCGAGGTCTTTCATAACCCTGTGGGGAGCTGCTGTCACTCCTGTGGCTTGGGAAGTGGCTCTCTGGGCCTCTTGCTGGGAACTTGGGCTGGGCTTCTCCAAGGCGGGACAGGAGAGTCATCGATTCTGGTTCTGCCTGCCCTAGAAAGACCCTGGGGCGGAGGCAAGGTCGCCACTCAGATCTGGAAGAGTGTATTTCGTGTATTTAGGGCATTTCGGGCCTGGGGAGTCTATGGGGCCTGGGCTGCGGGCCGGTGAGCTGGCATTTTCCTCCACCTTGCTCTGTGGCTGGCCAAGTCTGCTCCTGACCCTGAGACCCTGTCTCTGGGCCCCATCTCCCTGGGAGGAGGGCAGCAGTCAGGCTGCTGCGATTGGTTGGCCAGGAAGCCAGGGTACTGGGGCCCCCTACTGCTGTGAGTCGAGGGACAGGATTCCTCTTGCTGCCAAGTAGCTCTCAGAGATGGGAGTAGGAGGCCTGAGTTGGGAATCCGGGAGGCCCCACAGCTCTTTGTGATGAATCTGGTCGTTTCTGGCAAGTCTGAAGATGAGGCTGGTTTTCCAGGGCCGGGGAGCAAGATGTTTTCTGAGGGGTGGGCCTGGAAGGAAGAGAGGGCTTCCTTTCCGTGAAAAGATTGGGAAGGTGTGTATTCTGTGAGGGGAGTTTTTCAGAACAGGCAGACTCTCTAGAAGCTAGGAGTTGGGAGGGACTTCTGAGCACTCTAGCTGGTCCAGATCCTTGTGCAGTAGAGAAGGTGAGGCCCAGGGAAGGAAGCAAGGGTCCTGCCTTAGCTTTGCACCGAGTGGATGAGTGTAGAATCTGAATCTTCTAGAGCTAGACCAGGTGGCCTTTACAGCCCTGGATGTGATGGACACTGCCAGCCATGGCAGCTAATCCCTCCCAGGGGTAAGCTGTCTGCCCAGTAGGGCTAGGGTTCTCGGGTTGCCCGGATACAGGGGAAGGTGTGCACATTCCTGCACACAGAACCCCACATCTCCCCACAGGGAGTGCCCCACTTCCAGTTGCCTTCCAAATATTTCCTCTGAGGGTACATGCTTCCTATTTGCTCCTCAGTCAGGAGTTCGGCTACTGGGACAAGCAGTGGGAATAGAATTCGAGCTTCTCTCCGCTTCTGGCTCCAGGCCAGCCTGTTTTCCATGGGGCCCTTGAGAGGGTTAGGACTAGTTCAAGAGGCTGACGCTTTGGCTGGGCCAGGAGTGGGACAGCTGTGTCCAGGGGCCTGAAAGAGGTTGAGTAGAGATGTCATTTCTGCCTCAGTGAGAAGTCAAACCCACGGGTTCCTTCTCAAGATAAAACAGTGAAGAAATCCTCATGTGTGTAACTCGGAAATGGGGCCAGGTCTGGGAACCCCAGAGAGTGGGTTGAGGTGGGGCTCCCAGACCTGTAGCCTTGGGCAGGTGGGGATGGGGTTCAGACCTTCAGGGATCTTTAGGATCCATCCTGTCTGGCTTGGCCCCCACCTATCCTCTTGAGAGTCAAGTGGCACTGGGCCCTATCAGTTGCAGTTGAAGGGAATGGGGTGTGGTGCTGTACCCCAGGATCCGCCCCTGAGCTCCCACCAAGGGGATGTGGTTGGGTTGGGCAACCTCTCCTTTGAGGAACCTCAGAGGAGGCTTAGTGGCTGTGTCAAAGGAGGAGTAGCCTCATGCTTACTCGTTTCTTAGGTGTGGCTGGGACGCAGAGTTGGGGCAGAGGCTAGTGGTAACCTCTCCTTTCAAAAATCATGGGGCTCTCCCTCCCTCATCCCAGAAGATCCTCAAGTTCACAGTGATCCTGGTAATATCTGCTGCTTCAATCTTTCAACCCTGGCTGGAGAAGTGCTTAGAGCTCTGAGCGAAGTCAGGAGACAGCCTAGCTTATTGACCCCTTAAAGATAACCAAATAGGGCCAGCAGGTGGCATGGTGGTTAAGGTGCTGGATCCTATATAGCTAATTTCATGGTTCAAGTCCTGGACCTGGCAGCTTGAAAAAAACACATTGGGTGCATGTGTGTGCATGCCCCAAATCCCAAGAGGAAAATGGAGGAGAAGGGATTGTTGCATGGCCATCCCCCCTGGAGGTGGTTTCTTACTTTCCCTCTCTTGCTATCTCTCTCTCTGGTGAGCACACAGGCCCTATAGCAAAAACCTAAAAGGGAAAGAAAAACAAAACAAAACAAAAACAGAAGATAACTAAGCAGACTTAAGAGGGATAGTCATATCCAGGGTACAGTTCTGGCACATGGTCAGTGATCAATAGATGCTCAAGGCAAATGTCCCTAGCTCCCTCCTGTCCTGGTCTTCCCACTCCCTACAACTATAACGGGTCTTGAGCTTCAAAAATGTGACAGGCTTCCATCCCCATGCGATGTCTGCTTTCCCTCTTCCCTTCCCTCCCCACCTCCAGATACTGACCCCGTGCCCTTCCCTAACCCCCAGGACTGGGAGGTGCTGGTCCTGGTGAAGCTCAAGTGGGACCTGGCCGCTGTGATTGCCCATGACTTCCTGGCCCTGATTCTGCACCGGCTCTCTCTGCCCAGTGACCGGCAGGCTTTGGTCAAAAAGCACGCCCAGACCTTTTTGGCGCTCTGTGCTACAGGTAAGAGCCCTGTGTGCATTTCTGTCAAATTGGGAAAATCAGAAGACTTGGAAGGTAAGCAGTAACTAGAAGGCTGCAGTTTAAATTCCTCTCAAAATTCATTTGCAAAAATGATAACCCTCTGAGCTCCCAGTCTTCTCGGTGGGAAAGGCAGGTCATCATCAGCACGGGGTCTCGGGGGCCCCCACCTCAGCCAGGATGTAGGGAGGGGCAGTGAGGACATAGCGCTTTCCCCAGGTGTGAGGGAATAAGTTGGGAACATAAGCCCACTTTCATGGCCCTCCTTGTGTTTTCACACCAGGAAGGATCTCTCTTCTAGTCCCTGGGCAGGACCACTTACGGAGTGCTCTGGCCTTGCAGAAACTGGCTCTTCACACTGCTCTTCCTTGCGAGTTAGCCTCCCTCACCCACTGCTGGGGCGCTCCAGTGCGCCCCCTGCCTGCTCTGAGAGGAAAGTCCTTGCTGGCTGCTATCCTTGCTGTTTCCGTGTCTCATGGTTCCGTCTCCTCCTTTCCAAGATTATACCTTTGCCATGTACCCGCCGTCCATGATCGCCACAGGCAGCATTGGGGCCGCAGTGCAAGGCCTGGGTGCCTGCTCCACATCCGGGGACGAGCTCACAGAGCTGCTGGCAGGGATCACAGGCACTGAAGTGGTGAGTGCTGGGTCGCTGGGCAGCCTCCCCTATCAGACAGTGCTGTTCCCTGAGTCTCCAGCAGAGGGAGGCATCCATTCCCCACCTGGCCCCAGCTCCTGGTATCACACCCTGGGGCTTCTGCGGCCTTTTGATCTCCCGCCTTCGTCTGGAGAAGAGCAAGCATCTTGGGTGGGGTGAAGGGCACTGGCCCTAGGTGCCATTTTCTGCCACGTGGTGTGCAGGACTGGGGGTGGCGGATTTGGTGTCAGATATAGGGCTGCTCTCACACCCTCTTGCCACATCCTCTTGCCAGTTTCTGAGAATTGAAGACCGATTCCTGGGGCTGGGCTGTGGCCTAACCTCCCCAAACTTCCCTGTGTGCTGGGAGATGTCCTTCCTCTTCCCCTGCACCTGCTGCCAGATGCTGCTGCTGCCACGGGTGCCCTTACTGTTCCCCTGCGTTCCCAGGACTGCCTGCGGGCCTGTCAGGAGCAGATTGAAGCTGCGCTCAGGGAGAGCCTCAGGGAAGCCGCCCAGACCACTTCCAGCCCAGCTCCCAAAGCCCCCCGTGGCTCCAGCAGCCAGGGGCCCAGCCAGACCAGCACTCCTACAGATGTCACAGCCATCCACCTGTAGCCCCGGAGAGGCCTCCGGTGGCCACCATGCAGAGGAGGGGCCGCTGCCATCCCCCTCCCTGCCTCCAGGAACAAACGCTGCATCTGAACCCCAAGGGGGCTCTGTTCCTCCCTCACCAAGCCCAACGGGTCAGGTCCTACCTATCCCCACAGTGTGCACTAAGGGGCCTGGCCAGCCGTGCTCATTTGCGTGGCTAGTCAAGCTCCTCTTCCTCCCTGCATCTGACTAGCTCAGCTCCTGACTGCAGCTGGGGGCCAGGCTGGATAGAGGTAAAATATATGCACCAGCATTCCTTCCTGAGGCCCCCTTCTCTGGGGGGGGAGGGGGGGACACTCATGTTCTCAACTGCCAAAATGCCCGTGCCTTCTGAAAGCGTTCCCTCCCTAGGGTTATTGCATTTGGACTGGGGTCCTCTTGAAGATGAAATTTCGAGCAATCTGACATTGAGGGTGGAAGGAGTCATTTTAGAGGCCCATCTGATCCATGCTAACAGCTGCTCCTAGAGGGAGGGGCCAGAACCAGCAAATTCCTCCTTGCTTTGCTTTCTGCTCAGCTTGTGTGATTGGGGGATTTGGTGCTGAAGGAAGGTCCATTTTAATTTATTAATTGCTTTGCGTACAGCTTTAGGATGGGATAGTGGGGTCTGTTGACCCCCCAAGTGGTGGTAACCCTGGTGGTTGCTATTTCCCTCCCCTCTGCTACTGGCTAGAGGATCTTTGTGGCTGAGGAGCTGCTAAAGCCTGGCATGGGGTCATGCCTTCCTGTCCCTCTGCCCATCCTCCCGAGGGAGGACAAAGGAGGGATAGATACCCTGGAGGCCACTGAGCCCCTTCTGGAGAGGGAGGCAACCCCTGTAAACACAGGTCTTTCCTAAGGCCACAGGGATTAGGCTGATGGCCCATGACCATCATGCTATTTTAATAAAGATTCTAGAATAAAACTGGCTTTGGTTTCTTGGTTGCATGGCCTAGGGAAGGAGCTGAAAATCAATAGTTCATAGAGAGGCCTTTTCTGTAAGGGGCCAGATGGACTAATGTAGTCAGTTCTGCTTTATTTGTGGTATATCCCTAAAAATCAAGGTGCTGGGACCAGCAGATGGTGTGATGCTTACTTATGTTGCTGGATTTCCACAGTCAACCATGGTTCAAGCCCTAGACCTGGTGGCTTCAAGCTCATGCAGGGCACATGTACATGCACACCCAAAATCCCAAGTGGAGACTAGAGAAGGGATTACAGCGTGGCCATCCTCCCTGGGAGGTGGTTTGTTGCTTTCTGTCTCTGTGGTGAGCACATGTGCTCTATAAAAAACACTTCTAATAAAAACAAACAAAAAACACACAGTACTATGCAAAAATGCACAGAAGCCACAGGGCTTACGGGAAAAATTCAGAACACTCAAAAAATTCAATGGGGGACACATTAAAGAGGATGGCATAGCTTGTACACACAGCAATACCAGGCCAGCAGGTGGTGTGGTGGTTCAGGCACTTGACTCCTACATGGCCAACTGTGTTCACAGTCCTGGAAACTGTAATAAATACTGGGTTGCGAGCAAAGTCATGACACATTTCTGCATAGGAGGACACATCACGACCTTTGTGATGACCTAATAGTTTAAAAACAAGATAGTAGACATGGTCTTCTGCCCTGTTCAGACCTGAGGTTGTTGTGAAGTGGATGTCCAGAGGCTGCACCCCTTTGCTGCGAAGTGGTGGAAGGAGGTACACCAGCCGTGGGGGCAGTGGTGTTGGGGGTGGTGGTGGTGTGTTTATTAATTTGGCTTGGTTCAGCTGGACACAATTTTCTGTACTCATCTAGTGTTTCTCAAGGATGAAATTACATTTAGCAAATTGCAATTTGTGTTTCTGATCCAAGGGTTCTCAAATACATTAATTGGGCTGGAACAAATGGTGCACTTTCAAAAGCAAATCGGAATTTATGACAGGGTTATACTCAACTCTGCTGGCGAAGCACAGAAGCAGAGCAAACAGGTAAACGGGTAAGTGTGGCTGTGTCCAATGTAACCATGAGCACAAATACTTGGATTTCACATCATCCCTTCGTATCATAGGACGGGTTCAGGGACCCCTGTGGATACAAAATCAGGGAGGTGCAAGCCCTTTAAATAAAATAGTGTATTTATGACCTATGCATGTCCCTTGGGCATTTTTCTAGGGACCACCTCTTCCCCAATCTCATACCAACAGGGGTGACGTGGATGCATCCTTGGTTGGCTGAATCTGCATAAAGGGTGCCAAGTAATTCTCAGCTGTCAGCTGTCACAAGATGTTCTTTCTTTCCCGTCATTTAAAAGTGTGAGGCTCATTCTTCACTCATGGCCACATGAAAACAGGAATTTGGCCCTAGTGAGCCAACCTGTGGTCCGAAGCGCTCACTGGCCACTAGCTAGAAAGGGAACCTGTGAGTGCTGGCCCAGGATCTACTGATGCCTTGCTTCTTGGGCCTTTCTGGCTACTTGCATCTCCACTTGCCTTGAGGAGGGGCTGTCATCCTTTCCTCCACAGCTGGAACCGCCACCGGTGAACAGCTGTTCCAACTGCTGACATTCTAGGTAGCATTATGTCAGGGGAAGGCAGAGGATGTGCCCTCTGGGGACTAACAAGGTGAGTGTAGCCAAGAAAGAAATTTGTAGGTGGGGAGTGCGGTGGAAGACCAACTCCCACCTCCAGCGGGAAGGAAGGAGAAAGACCTCCACTGACTACACCGAGACGCGGAGGGTCAATAAATACCTGCCTGTTTTTATCCACATCCCAATGACTTGGCCCAAAAGCCAAAGTACTTATACCACACCCCAACTTGGGAGTGGAATCTCAAGTCAGGTCCCAGGACGAGTAGGGACAAATGCTTAGGTGGAAGATGGGGCCAGTTGGACCCTCAGTCCTCCCTGCCCAG